AGATGAATGAATTTTTGATTAATTTTAATTGTACAATGTGTTCTCCTTATATACAAGTATTAATAAAGCTTAAGTACTCTAACGTCTATAACAGACTATATGTCACGTCATTATACATATCATAATAATAACCAGTGCACTGCTGTATATATGATTCAAAGAATGAGAGTTTAAGATGATTTTTAATAAATATACAATGTCGTAGATTTAAATTATCAGCTCAAACCAAAAAATAAATTTAGATGTCCTGATTCTAGACGATTAGATATGTCACATCTATGAGAACATGCACCTTTTGGTGATGCAGTGGTGGTCATGTGCTGCAATCTGATCTTTCGGTACCAGCTACGTCGGGCTACAAGTGGAGTATCTCACCGTAGGATAGTTCAGAAAGCTTAGAGCATGATTATCTCAAAGACCCGAACATTTATGTGCTCCAAATGCAAGTCTCTTAATTAAATATTCTTTAAAAAGAAATTGTTAAACCTTTTTTATTAAACTTAATTTTTTTTATTAACCAAAACATATTAAAAGAAAACATTTTACACAAATTTTAGTAAAATAAACGATACTAATTTGAAAGAACCATCCGAGTTCAGTTGTTGTCTTCATCATGTTCACATTTACACCATACATATTCAACCAAATCAGCTTTCAGTTGTTGATGCATTTGTTTATCACGAATTCTACTTCTATCATCCATCATATTGGCGATAATTGTAGGGATAATACGTGAGATTCACATGTAAACCTCCGTTGTCCGCGGCTTATTGGAACTCTGAAACATCAAATAGAGTGTATTCATCTCGTTCATCTTCTACTATCATATTATGGAGTATGATACACTCATAATCTTCCCAATTTTGACGTTATCCCAAAAAAGTGCAGGATTTTTAACAATGGCAAAGCGAACTTGCAAGACTCCAAAAGCATGCTCGACATCTTTTTGGACAGCTTTTTGATGTTGAGCAAATAAAACCGCTTTCGGACCTTGTGGTATTGGAATAGATTGGATAAAAATTGTCCATTTCAGATATATACCATCGGTGAGATAATTTGCCGAATGGTACTCTCTTCCATTCACAAAATAGGTGACTTGTAGAGCTTGACCCTTTATTATGTCATCAAAAACAGTCAAGAACATTGATATCATTTAAGGTACCTGGAGGTCCAAAAACCGCATGTCATATCCATAGATCATACGAAGCAACCGCCTCTAAAACGATTGTGGGTTTTCCTGAATTACGTGAATATTGGCCTTTCCAAGCGGTGGAAGAATTCTTCCACTCACAATGCATATAGTCAATGCTTCATATCATCCCGTGAAATCCACGATGCTCTCAAATATCAAGTAGACATTGTAGATCAGCCGTTGTTGGTCTTCTTAAGTACTCATCGCCGAATAAATATACTATTCCTTCCAAAAAAATTTCCAAACATGACCGTGTAGAATTTTCACCGAGTCAAAGGTATTCATCGACAGTATCAGCCGCAGTGCCATAGGCCAAGATACGAATAGCTTCTGTACACTTTTGAAGTGGAGAGAGACTAAGACTTCCGAGATCATCTTTCTTTTGTCGAAAAAATTGAACTTCATTGGAGAGTCGATCAACAATATGCATGAACAGTGGCTTGTTCATTCTAAACCGTCGTCAGAATATATTTACAGGGTATGTTGGAGTTTCACTGAAATAATCATTCCATAAACATATGTTGCCTTCTTCACGATCTCTCTTGATATAAACTCGGGTTTTTTTTCCTTCTTTTCCTTTCTTGATCACCATAATATGGAAATTCTCGAACATTTGCTCAAAATGTTGATCAAAAGTATCATCAATTGATCCATCAAATGTGTTATGAGAAGAAGATGACATATTCGTGATCCAAACAAGAGAAATTATTTTTGAATGTGCATAAAACTTGTTATCAAACGATGATCTTTGTTTAGTGAGAAAAAGAGAATATGAGTTTGTTTGATCTTTGTTTGGTGAGAAGGAGAGCATATGAGTTTGTGAAAAAAATGTCTACACAACAGCACTTTATATAGAGAAGATGACACAAATACTACAAAGTACTACAACACTCTGTGAAACAAATACTACAACACTCCAAGGCCACAAGCTTACAAGAATCTGATACAAGACAACAAGACTTGTGACACAAGATTACAACACTCAGTGACGCAACACTACCTGTGACATAAGATTTGTGACACAACACTACTCCGTGATACAACACTCCACTATAAGAACACAAGAAACAGAGAGTTAATATGTGGTTCTTCCACTCCCAATGCTCCACTCTTTGACTCTATTTTACCTGAAAGTAAGGACAGCCAACAAGTCATAAGAACAAGAATGAGAACAAGAATACAATGTCCATATCATCAATAACAAAGATATCAATAACAAACATTAAGCAACTATATCATAATTTCCGAAGCATTTATATCAACAACAAGAAACAAAGAGTTAACAAGACCAAGAAATAGAGAGTTAAACTAATCAAACTTCAACATTAAGCAGCTACACTTACACTTAAACTAATTAAACATTAATTCACTTATGAGCTTTTTCTTGAGGGCTTCTTCATACTCGGCTAGAGGTTCTTTCTTTGCAATAAGAGAGTCAAGTAGACACATCTTCGACAACCTTTCCTTCATTGCCAAATCCTTCTGTTTAATATCCCACATATTCTGAAACTCATTCAGTGAATTCTCCTCTACCATAGTCTTATTCCCACGGGCTTTTTCTGCCTTAACACTCGCGGGACCCTTGATTGAGAGCTTAATGAATCTGCACTGTCATCATACTTCCTCTTCTTAAAGTTTCCATCCCTTTTAGCAGTAGAAAATCACACCACTTCTGGTCGTTGCTCAACTCCTACCAAGCATGCTCAACAGTGAATTTATTTTTATGGTTGTTATAGAATACTTCATGAGCTCTTTTGAGGACATCATTCTCATTGCAACCGCTACTTTTCTCCCTAGTTTCAGCTTTCGTACGATCACAGAAATTGCAGACCAAGTCGTTGATCGTGTGCCAACATTGCTTACAGTGACTAGCCTCTCTCTTTTTGCAGCCACCAAGCTTCGGATTTGCTGCAAAGTAGGCTGCAATTCTCTTTCAGAAAGCGCCTGATCTTTGCTCGTTGCCAACTACTGGATCTTTGCTCGTGTTTAGCCACAAGCTGATCAGCACAACATCATCCGTGAGAGTCCACTTCCTTCGTTCCCGACGCTCACCAACATCATCCGTGCCTCGAGAAGAAAGTTGAGATGAAGATAGTTCGACACTATCTTCATAGTTACCAAATGAAATACTTTATTGACTATTAAGTAGATCAACTAATTTTGATGTCGTAAATGGATTGGAATCTATCTATGAAGCACACTCAAGTTAGAGAGAGGAAAAGGAAAGAGTAAGGAAGTTAGAAAGAGAGAACACGGTTTGAAATGAATTCAAGAAAGAGGATGAAATCTTTTTATGGATTGCAGAGAAGTATCAATGCATTGATCACAACCAACCAAACCTAGTTGACATCTAGCTAACACATTCATCACTACACCCTTGATTTCTACCTAACCATAACCTAACGCTAACCATAACATTAATTACCCTCAATTCTATTCAAACCAGAATCTAAATCTATTCAATTAGACAAGATCAAAGAGTAACAATAACACAGAACAAATCCAGAACAAATCAAAGTTTTTTAACGCTTACTTGTATTTTATTGTACTCCTTTGTTCGATGAACTTTGTTAATTCTCTTGATCATTCTCTTAAGCTTCAGACACAAATAACAAATCAAAAGCAATTTGATCCATCCATCTGACGCAACAAGACAGAAACAACAAAATTAATCAAGAGACATAAACCAATTTGCAACAAACAAATCAAAACTGAAACAAACTTCCAACAAACAAATCAAAATTGGTCAATCCATCTTACGAAACAAAGACAAGAACAAAAAAAATTAATCAAGAGACAGAAAGTAACTTGCAACAAACAAATCAAAATTGATCCATCCATCTTAAGACACAACATACAAAATCTACAGACAGAATCAAACACCACAAACAAATCAAAATATTAAAACTTAAAGAACATAAATCAGAAGCTTTATCTTTCGATTGGAAAAGAGACACCGAGATAGATGTCTGTCGTCCTCGAAGAGAGCCACCGAGAGACAGAATCGAACATACACACAAATCAAAAGACATGCAAAATTGATCAGAATAAGAACAAGCATAATCTAAAGGCATGCAAAATTGAACTACACAACAATCGCTTTACCTTTCGATTAAAGGAGAGCCACCGAGCCGTCTAGGAGAGACACCGAGAGAGAGATCGCCGGCGAGATCCACCAAGAGAGAGAGAGAAACCAAAGAGCCACCGATGGGAAGAGAAGTCACCGTCAAAGAGAGAGAGAGAGAGAGAGAGAGAGACCATAGAGCCACCGATGGGAAGAGTAGACGCCGACGAGAGCCACCGAGAGAGAGAGAGAAACCAGAGAGACACCGATGGGAAGAGTCGTCGTCGAGAGAGAGAAACCATAGAAAGAGTAGAGAGAGACACACCACAAAAAAACTCGAACCGCTTCAACCTCTCCTCTACCCACTCAAGCTTGGACACATGTCTCACAAGAGACATTCCTTGCTTCTCCTAATTAGGAGGCATGTCTTAGGTAATCCGCTATTTCTTTATTCTAATGTTAATTAACTTAAGAGACATGATTAAGAGACCCGGTTAATTCTGCTCTTAGGGATTAGCTTTGTTTTCAAGAGGTAAAAATAGTTAGTTCAAAAGACAGTAGAATGATCTTGTTTTCATTGTGGTTGAAAAAGTACAAAGAGGTATCGTGCGTATGATCCAATTTAAGTGTTTATAAGTGATGATACTATATCAACTCTTCTTTTTGTGGTTGAATTTTTGTGTGGTTGAATCCATGTATTTAACTCTTGGTTAATGAAAAATTTGATGTTGAACCAAACAAATAAAAAAAAAGATGTCACATGTGGTGGCTATAAAACAATGAGTCGCAGGAAAAGACGATTCCTTTCACACCGACAACAAATGAGAGATCACTATTGAAACAGAATTGGTCAGAGGACCAGCTCACTGCCCTACCTTACGGAAGGGGAATCTGGCCGAGATAGGCTGAATTAAAGCCCATTATCAGTTCCAAGTATTATTATTGTATGATTGCTGTATGACTACATTACAACAGTTTGAACTTTGAACAGTGGTTGTGACTGAATCCGCCCATCTCTTGCTCATTCTGCGTGACTATGCGAGTCAGAAGAATGCAATAAAATAGCAACGTTGAAAGATTCAACAGCCCTAAATCCACGAACTCCTCCCGATTCCCAGCGGAAATTAGAAGCACAACGAAGTGTATTCTATACTCTCCTTTTTTTTTGTCAAAAGAAGGAACAAAAAGTTCAAGTAAAAAGAAGGAACAAAAGGAACGTTGCCATCATACAGAGGCTTCGATTTCACTCCAAAACGGCTTCGATATCAATAGTTTCTGAAGTTGCGACATCATCCTTCAGATCAGAGCCGTGATTCAACCATTCTCCCAAGCTTTCCCCCCGCTCAGGCGTGTTTACAGTCAGCTCTTTAATGTCCCAGTCTTGAAACTTTTATATGTCTCTGCAGCTCTTTCTCTTCAACCAGTGCATTTTTCTTACTTGGTTAGTTAGAGGGTGCTGACCAAGCCTATGCTTCAAACGACCAACCACAGACAAGTCGAGTCATCAAACTCGTACAATAAAGATTACAAATACCAGGAGAGAATGCGACTACTATCCACTTACCATGTAGTTTTCTTACATCAACAACACAATGTGAGCAAATATGGTACTTGTGGAGGCCTATCTTCAATAACAATTTGGACTCGAATCCACAATAACCAGGGCAGTTGCAATTAACACCATTTATCAATCAGAATTTTGCAAACTTCCAGACGTTGTAGACCACCTTTACTTTGAACACAAAAAAAAAACTGAGGTTCAATCAGAATAGAGAACTATCTCTCCTTAAGATAAAATGCGACAATATATGATCTGTGAAGCAACACGTACAGAAAATACCAAGTCGATTCCTAAGCTGAAATGATACTTGGGATGATTTTCGGAAGCAACTTGTATAGCTGTTTTTCGCACGAATCAGTAGAACTAGTAATGCATGTGAGCTCGTTCTCTAAAACAGAGTAAGCTTCAGAAAATGCCTGCATAATAAATCATCACAACACTTTTCCATAGTCGTATGGTTTACATAAAATGCAAATATGATCCAACTTACCTTAATACATTGATGTATGCGGAAGCAATTTCTCCCGACATTATTTGTTGGGAAAAGAGGGTCATCGATGTGTATCGGATCAATACTATGAGCAATTAACCAGCAAACGTGTGAATAACAAAACGTGTACAAGTTAGTATTTCAGTCGTAGTTTTACAGGGCCGCGATGTTTACCTATGACCCCTCTCCCTATTCCTATAGATACCACTTCCTTGCACTGAGATACGCATCTGCCGAGGATCAAAAACATTACTGCAAAACAAATTAAGAAAAATAAACACTAGATCAGTTATCGTCACACTCCCTGTTGAGCTATATCTATAACTGTAATTAGCAGATTTATAAGGAGAATCAGTAATTTTTACTGACCCAAAAAAGTAAAGAAAATCCATGAGTAGCCGCCCAATGTTCTGCAAAAATACTTATTTTCAATTAGTAATTATGGCATGAGTGTATCAAGGAAACCTGAACAAATATAGATAATTGTGTTACAAAATAGGAAAACAGTAAAACTAAGTACTTGGTTGATAGAGCGCCCCAGATGATGCTCGTGCTGAAGAAAACGTGTAATCAGTAAAACCTGCAGTAATCATAGTCTAAAATTCATAAACAGATATCTGAAAACATGTTTAGAGGATGGATTAATAAGGTGGCTGGTGCATTGGTACTAATCAAATTAGAGAAACACCAATTAACAGGATCCGCATCACATATAGAGAGACTCTGACCACCTCAAAACCAAAAGAAAGGAGCGTTTTACTTAAGTAAAGGAATACGGCTCACCAGGCAATAAGAGCTTAATCCACCGGAGTATGATTGATCCAGGGTACGATCAGCCAAAAACTGCTTTAACACCAAAGCAAGTGGCGTCGCAGCTGGAAATTGCTCTGTCAGATCTTTCACCTGGAAAAAGAACATTTTAGGAAACATGAGCCAAAAGAAAGAAAAAAGGTTACACAGATACATACACAAGAAGAGACTATAATGCAAACAAATATCTTGCTGTGAAAAAGAGAAAATAAACACCAATTGTGTGGTTTGAAGACCCGTATGCGATGGAGTTTTGAAACTGATGTCAAGACGGACAGATTTTGCATTTGCCAAGTTTCCAGACTTAGTCGGCAAAGAGTTTGCTGCTGCAGAGTCTTCTAATTCAACCGTATCAGTGTTACTATTGTTGTCTTGGTCAACGGTGATACAGTCTGGGCCATCTTTTGGTGACTGTAGACTGCATACCAGATCACAAGGGACTTCGACAACAAGCATGATAATTGGAATCTGCACATGCATACACAAATTATATAAGAGAAAGCATGATGAGAGTACCTGACGACTGTGAAAAATTAAAACACTAATAAATGAGACATTACAGCTGTATTTTCAACCGCCTTCAGGGAGTCAGTTTTTACCCACTCTTGATTAGCGAGATACCTGGCTGCATGCTGAATAGCAAAACATGATATCAAAGATAATTCAACAGAAACTGTCAGATATAAGTAGTCTTATTTAAAAACAGAGTATCTTCAAAATAAAGATTAAAAATAGAGAAGAGAGCAGGCTCAAGCATGATTCACAAATCTAGTGTTTTACAAGGCTTCCGCTATACTTAAGCAATCCCAGTTCCCTAATATGCAACCAGCATACTTAAGAAAAATGGGTCCATTTATGAAAATAATTAGACTAGCCCCTAACACAACATAGAAGCACAAATATGCTCACTAAAATAAAGCAAATTCAAAAGTTAAATTTAAAAACATAATCATGACTGTTAACTGTTGCAACATGACTTCCACAGTAAGCATACCTGAAGGCATGTCTCCTTTATACCATTGCGACCCTCCAAAATCCCTGCCTCTTTGATAGGTTCCTGAGACAGGTATTATGTATAAGATACTTCCAGTTCAAGAAATAATGCATAAGATGAATGTTGTTAAGTTTGCTCACCAAGTTTCTCACTGGAGGAAGACAAACCACAAGGTCCACATCACTCGAAGGGAGGGCCAAACCAGTTGCAGATGAGCCAAATATGTTCGTCCTAGACCTGGGCCAGAGAACTTGGAGAGATCTGGTAACCCGCTTGATTGCCCAATTGATATAAGGTTTGCGAGACATATTCTCAGTAGCAACCTTTATAAACAGTAAATGACTCAAAAGGATTCGAATAATTACCATCCCAGGTGATATAAATATAAGCTTCAAAGACGTTCATATACTGAAATATAAGAAGCGGAAAAGGTATTGTAATTACCTGCTTGCAGAAAGAATCTATCTCGTCCTTCAGAAGACCGTGTATCAATGATTGAGATTCCCCTTGGGTTGGACAGTTCAATAACTCGGGTGGTTGCAAAGGGAAGGCCACATCAGGCTGTAAAATAGCATTTTAGAGGATGAACGCATCTTAGAAAGAGTACACATAGAGGTCAACGGTGTTACTTACATGCTCCTGCTCTCGGCCTAGTTGCGACATTGCAATTAAGTGATCTTGAAGGAGGGCCCCAGGTAGAGGTTGAATGATTGGCCTGACTGCAAGGCTTTTGTTCCTCCAGGGTAAAACAACCTCCGCTCCACAAGGTTCTTCCCAGTTTACACCATCATGGAACCAACCTCTCATACCCCAATGCCTTGGGCTTGAACTTCCAGACCTCACAGTTGGAAAACCTCGCCGTGCTCTGGAGTTGCTCACAGGTGAAGGTGGTGGTGGACGAGGAGCACGTGGAACACATAGTACTACAGGTGATGGTGGTCGCTTTATACGAGGATGCTCGCGCCTTGTAGGTGGTACATTTGGGCTTTTGGTATCATAACTACGCTTGTATTCAGATTTTGACATATTTGGGATGATGATAGGCCGTAAAATTGGATAAGGAAAAGAGTCTCCTGAAGTTCCTTCAACATCCCCTGATAAACTAGTCAAAGTTCCAGAGACCTCCTCTTCACCTGCAGCCTCACTTTTTGTTGGGGGAGCTTGCAGTACTTTAGTAGATATCTCAGTACCTGGCACAACATAACCAAGAGGCTGGTTTGCCGGGCCTAAGGGATCGAAAGGGGAACAGAAGGATGCCGAAGTTGGAGAAGCTAGTCCATTTGCGCTGTAAGAAGACGAAAACGCAACCATGTCATCAACCGACCTCTTCATTTCAGCTTCATGCCAAGCCCAAGAGCTATCATCAGAACTAAGGGACGGAGGGCGAGAAAAGCCAGTCCCTAGATGTTCAGAAGGATTCCAATACATTACTCCACCACCGAAATATTGATTATAGTCTACTCCAGAAACAGTGTGCATCTCAAAATCTTCCTCCAACATCCAATTATTCTCGCATTCATTCCCTATCTCGGGCTTATTTTTCTGTTCAGGAATGTCCACAAGAATTCCAGAATCATAATTGCAAGCGAATGCTGTTGCCAAGCCGCAATTGCTATGAACCATGGGAGGCCAATCTAGACTCATTGGCATGGGTCGAGGAAGAACTTGTTTGTGGGTACCTTCAATAGAAGGATTCCTAGCATGATGAACAGTTGACACGAAAGGTTGGCGTACATATGCATGCAAATTGTGACCAACATCAAGATGCAGTCTATCAGTGGCAGTAGGAAGGTGAGAATTAACATGTGGAAAGTACATGGGTGCTATAGCAGGCCACTCATAAGAAACAAATTCTGAACTGCTGGAGGCAATACTATAGCCTGCTGCTTCTCTTCTATGATGGTGGATCCGCTGGGATTCCCCTTCCTCCAGAGTTCTGGATCGTCCATTAGACGATGACAGTATGTCTTTACGTTCACCTGGACAGCAAGACTTTTGAGAGTTCACGTTATCACAGCTTGGAGTACCAGCAGAATCTGTAGAAGTCAAAACTGATGAAATCACATACGTTCCAGCTTTTCCGTTCAATTCTTCCTCTCCAGAATTCTCACATTCAACTGCATCATTCGCAGATGCACCTTTCCTTGAACCATTCCTATCACAGCTAACTCCAATACTCTTAGCATCTATATGTTCCTGAGGAAGCTGATTGGCAGAAGTACAATCTGATTCACATTCGCTAGCTTTTCCGATGGCTGAACTATTCAATACGGACTTATTCACTTCCCTGGTATTTTCCAAACTTGTACACTTTTTATTCTTATTCTTTTCTCTCTTTTTCTTTTTTGTTCTTCCTGTGTCGGCAACCAATCCTGGGACAGGTTCCTGATAGTATATAATCAGTTTCAAAACAATCCGAGTTCTAATTAGCCAAAATCTGAGGAAATAAAAATAACTCACCATATTTGCTGCAGAGGCCTTAGAATAATTGATCACTGTTGATGATGTAGGAGCTTTCTTGCATTCTAACGCATCTTTGTTTTTGTGAGATTCCAACTTAGCATGGTCTTTCTGGAGATAAGTTCAAAGATCAATTTCAAGTTCCCAGACAAGTGCTATGAAAATAAAATAATCAGTGGATGGACAGAAAATATGTACCTTTTCGGACAAACATAGGTTTCTAACCGATTTAGCCTCAGGTGTTAGCTTTTTCACATTCCCAGTCTTTCGTTTGAGTTTACGGCTGGTTGAACCAGGAGTCTGCTTGGAAGATGAACTTGTGGAACACTTTGGAGTATTTTCTTCAAGAAGCTCACGTTTAACAGAATCAACAGAGATTAGCATAAGAAAACCCCGAAGTTTTCTTAATATACAATCAACCAAAGTTGGGAGAGAAGCCAAGGAGCTGAAGAATACGGTTTGTGCTGAAAGTGAGCCATTTTGACATAAGATGAGTAATGAAGAAAATTGTTGAAGCACGTATAGGCTACTTAGATTACTGGCAACGGCATTAGGTCTCCTTGAGACAGAGGTTTGTTCCAAAACCATGTCACAGAAGGAAAGTGGAGAAGTTTGTGTAGGACATTCCCTTGCAGAAAAATTGAAGAGCCACATATCTCCCTGGGGTGCTTGATTAGCTTCTCTAAGAATCTCAAATATCTGAGTTTTCCGCAGTGACAAGAGAAATTTAGATAAAACCAAATACTGTAGACACCCTAAAACAAAAGCAACCTTAACCAATAAGGAATTTTAAAGTGTATAGAATCCTTTTCTTTCTTTTTTTTTTTTTCCATAGTCATGAATCATCATTATTATAATATATACAAGTTAAGTTCCATACCAGAGATTTTGCAGACTTGCCGAGCAAGCAAGTCCAGATTTGCTTGTGTGTTGCGGGGTGGAGATTGTGCCACCAGTCAGCACATGCCTTGGTCCTCCAATATGCATTAGCAGAGGCAGCAGCAGCATTCAATTTCTCTTTAAGCTTCTTCATTCCTCGTTTCTTCCCATTCCCATTCCCATTCCCATTCCCACTAGTGGTGGTGTTCAACCAAGCTAATCTCAAGCTAACCTCTAACCTATTAGCGATGAAGGCTTCGATGGTATAATAGCCTTTGGCTTTGAGCCAATCAAGTTCAACCCAATTGGAGCTCAGATCAGTAGTATCCTCCCCTCCTCTCAGAAAGGAGCCATTGGATAAAGCGTCCATAGTCTCCACGAAGTGATCCACATTGGTAACAAGGTCCTCGGCCATGACGAGGGAGTCGAGGGAGCAAGAGCAGTCTTGTTTGGAACCGAAGAGAAGAGTGGAGTCGAAAAGGGAACGCTGGGAGGCGTCGGAGAGGGCAACCCTGGAGATCAAACCACGAGATTTCTTAAAGCAGAGACTTGGAAGAAGATCGTGGGAAGGGAGGTCTGGGAGGATGATGAAAGAGCCATGGCCTTTGGTGCGGATGTGCCCGAGCATCTGGACCAGAATTTGGACGAACTTTGGATCCACGAAGGTGAGGTGAGAGAGGCGCTGGTGGACGCTCAGAGAAGAGAACCATCGCAGGATCGCGGACCTAGGATTAGGTTTTGAGCAATAATTGGATTTGGATTTGGAATTGGAATTAGAGTGGTAGAGGGAGATGTGAGATGTGAGGGAATCCATTAGTTGTTGATTCTGAGCCATGCTCGATAGTAATTTGGATGAGAAATGATGCCCTTTTTCCATCTTCTTTTTCTGATGATCCAATCGAACCAACATCCATCTAATGTACCGACTTCCTCCTTCGCCGGAACCACCACCAACGCCAGATATCTCTTTAACCAACCTTAGATTATTAATGGGCCTTCCAAATTCAGGCCCATTTGTAAGACTCGTCCTAGTTCTTCTTCTAATTCTTATTATCTAATCTATATTATTAGGATTTTACCATTACTTTTGGAATTATTTACAATGCCATATCACTTATCTATGTATTTGATTTTTTTTTCATTATTTCTTCTTCAGTTAATATTAAAATAAACACACAGCAAAAATCAGTCATAAACATTCAGGCAAAACTTGGACATTCTTCTTCCTTTAAAAATGCTATATTCACTAACCATAATAAATTTACATTATGATATCACTAGTCTATTTAACTAAGACCTAATATATTGAAACAATTGTCTTAGGACTTTTAACCATATAATCCAACCAAATTGTCTACGCTAACCTATTCTAACAAGCTTAAGGCCCAATCTTATTTTTTAAATATTTTTTTTTGCAACACTAATTTTATCATCTAAGCTATATTTTATTTTCTCTATTTATAGTGTTAGATACAAAATAAACAATTATGTAAATATTTACATTATAAAATATATTCAAATTAAATCATTTCCGTTGAAAATACAAAAAAAAAACTATAAAAATCTATATTATAATAGTACACTTTCTAGGCTCCACAACGCGCCACGTCAGCAGTTTTGTGGGTCCCGTAGGTATTTTTTAAAAACTTATAGTCTTGGTAAGATGATTACAAACAATGAAATACACTTTAGCCAAGTGGTATAAGGTGTTTAATTAAGCATGCAAGATCGTGGGTTCAAACCACGCAGCCATCATTTATTTATTTTTTATTATTTGGGTTATTATCATATGGGCTTTTTGTTTGTAAGGTTTTTATGTTTTTTTTTTATGGCTTATTGTTTTAAAGATCAAAATAGTTGGATAAACCCTAAAGCTTAACGAGTTCAAACCAAAAATAGTTAAAAATGAATGCAAAAACGAATAATAAAAAAACAAAAAAAAAACCAAGTCTCACGCGGTTGTCTACGCGGATGGCTTAAAGAACCTTAAAACTATCCTATTATAATATATAGTTCAACCCAAAAATAAATATTATAATAGTACACTTTCTAGGCTCCACAATGCGCCACGTAATCAGTTTTGTGGGTCCTGTGGGTATTTTTAAAAAACTTATAGTCTTGGTAAGATGATTACAAACAATGAAATACACTTTAGCCAAGTGGTATAAGGTGTTTAATTAAGCATTTAAGATCGTGGGTTCAAACCCCGCAGCCATCATTTATTTTTTTTTTATTATTTGGGTTATTATCATATGGGCTTTTTTGTTTGTAAGGTTTTTATGTTTCTTTTTATGGCTTATTGTTTTAAAGATCAAAATAGTTGGATAAACCCTAAAGCTTAACGAGTTCAAACAAAAAATAGTTAAAAATGGATGCAAAAACGAATAATAAAAAAACAAAAAAAAAAAGCAAGTCTCACGCGGTTGCCTACGCGGATGGCTTAAAGAACCTTAAAACTATCCTATTATAATATATAGTTCAACCCAAAAATCTATATTATAATAGTACACTTTCTAGGCTCCACAACGCGCCACGTCAGCAGTTTTGTGGGTCCCGTAGGTATTTTTTAAAAAGTTATAGTCTTGGTAAGATGATTACNAAAAAAAAAGCAAGTCTCACGCGGTTGCCTACGCGGATGGCTTAAAGAACCTTAAAACTATCCTATTATAATATATAGTTCAACCCAAAAATCTATATTATAATAGTACACTTTCTAGGCTCCACAACGCGCCACGTCAGCAGTTTTGTGGGTCCCGTAGGTATTTTTTAAAAAGTTATAGTCTTGGTAAGATGATTACAAACAATGAAATACACTTTAGCCAAGTGGTATAAGGTGTTTAATTAAGCATGCAAGATCGTGGGTTCAAACCGCGCAGCCATCATTTATTTATTTTTATTATTTGGGTTATTATCATATGGGTTTTTTGTTTGTAAGGTTTTTATGTTTTTTTTTATGGCTTATTGTTTTAAAGATCAAAATAGTTGGATAAACCCTAAAGCTTAACGAGTTCAAACCAAAAAATAGTTAAAAATGGATGCAAAAACGAATAATAAAAAACAAAAAAAAAACAACTCTCACGCGGTTGCCTACGCGGATGGCTTAAAGAACCTTAAAACTATCCTATTATAATATATAGTTCAACCCAAAAATAATAAAAAATGAATCCAAAAACGAACCGACCAAAAAAAAAGTGAATACCACGCGGCTACCTACGTGGATGGCTTAATGAGGCTTGAATAATATAGATTAAGAGCTCAAAAAGTGAAATCATTGCACATATTTCCTAATATATATTTTCAAAAAATTTGTATGTGAGATAAAAGAAAAAAACAACAAAAATTAATTATTTTTGTTATTTAATTAATGAATATGTAATTTCTCTTACATTTTAATAACTACTATAATTTCATTGAAAACATTCCTCACCACCGATTTCAGACTCCGGCGAATGGATTCCCACGGCCACAGTCGATGACGCCATAAATAAAAATGCCACATCATTTATGAACAAAACTCAAACTTACAAAAAAACATATATAAAAACCTATCTAATGAAACTNCAAGTTTTGACCTACGATATAAAAACTATTCACAACAAAAAAAAATCACCTACTTTTACACATTAAAAACTATATTATAGCCTAACTATTCCTATAAACCTTACTTCGCATATAAATAACATTTAACTCATTCCTAATATATTTTCAAAAAATTTGTATGTGAAATAAAATAAAATAAACAACAAAATTTAAGTATTTTCATTATTTATTAAATGAATATGTAATTTCTCTTACATTTTAATAACTACTATAATTTCATTGAAAACATTCCTCACCACCGACTCCAGACTTCGGCGAAGGGATTCCCACAGTAGATGACGCCGTAGATAAAAATGCCACATCTTTTATGAACAAAACCCAAACTTACAAAAAACCATATATAAAAACCGATCTAATGAAACTTAAACAACGAATATTAACTTAATTAAGGTTATTTTTAAATTGATAAATCGTTTAATACAAATATAAATACTATAAATATAGAATTATATCAAGTTTTGACATACGATATAAAAACTATTTACAGCAAAAAAAAAAAACACACCTACTTTTACACACTAAAAAGTATATTATAACCTAACTGTTCCTATAAACCTTACTTCATATAAATAACATTTAACACATTAGATATACAATATTTTCACTTTACACTCTTACTATATTCTTTCCATTTCATTATTATTTGGTGTCATTAGAAGAATCCACTAAACCACTAAATCGAAAAAAATAAACGCAAACATAATGATTCTGACCCCGTGCTTGCGCGGGGAGTATGCAACTAGTTATAAAGAAGTTTTCAAATTAAGCTATGTAAAAAAACTATTTGTTTAATCATGTTTCTATATATTGGGTATTCAACTACCTTAATTTGTATCAAATCAATCTATATTATAATAGTAGACTTTCTAAACTCCACAACGCGCCATCCATGTCAGCAGTTTTGTGGGTCCCGTAGATATTTTTTAAAAGTTCATAGTCTTGGTAAGATGATTACAAACAATGAAATACACTTTAGCCAAGTGGTATAAGGTTCTAATTAAACATGCAAGATCGTGGGTTCAAATCACACAGTTATCATGTATTTTTGATTTTTTTTATTTGGGTTATTATCATATGGGCTTTTTTGTTTATAAGATTTTTATGTTTTTTTTTTGGGCTTATTTTTTTATAGATCAAAATAGTTGGATAAACCCTAAATCTTAACAAGTTCAAACCCAAAAATAGTTAAAAATAGATAAAAAAACAAACAATAAAAAAACAAAAAAAAAAGCAAGTCCCATATGGTTGCCTACGCATATGGCTTAAAGAGCCTTAAACTGTCCTATTATAAGATAGTTTAATCCAAAAATAATAAAAAAGGGATCCAAAAACGAACAGACCAAAAACCAAAAAAAAGTGAGTCATACGCGGCTGTCTATGTGGATAGCTTAATGAGACTTGAATAATATAGATTAAGAGCTCAAAAAAAGTTAAATCATTGCACATTATTCCTAAGTTGTCTATGTGGATAGCTTAATGAGACTTGAATAATATAGATTAAGAGCTCAAAAAAAGTTAAATCATTGCACATATTTCCTAAGCTGTCTATGTGGATAGCTTAATGAGACTTGAATAATATAGATTAAGAGCTCAAAAAAGTTAAATCATTGCACATATTTCCTTTTTTTTTTGAAACATATTTCCTAATATATATTTTCAAAAAATTTGTATGTGAGATAAAATAAAAAAAACAACAAAATTTAATTATTTTCGTTATTTATTAAATGAATATGTAATTTCTTTTACATTTTAATAACTACTATAATTTCATTGAAAACATTCCTCACCACCAATTCCAGACTCTGTCGAATGGATTCCCACAGTCAATGACGCCGTAGATAAAAATGTCACATCATTTATGAACAAAACTCAAACTTACAAAAAACCATATATAAAAACCTATCTAATGAAACTTAAACAACTGAATATTAACTTAATTAATGTTATTTTCAAATTGATAAATCGTTTAATACAAATATATATGGGGGAATTGCCAAAACCAACCCAAATATTCATTTTAACCCTAAAGGTGTACCCCATATTCAATCAATTGCAAACCCAACCTAAATGGGTGTTAAAACTACTATTTAACCCTTATGAACAAACAAAAAACGTGGAATATATTTTACGATTCTGTCCTCCGTAGGTCTACACTTTAAGAAAGAAGTCTACAACTAGGTAGACTTAGATTAACGTCTACTGTGTAGACTAGTGTAGACTTATTATTTAGTCTACATCTTAATTTAATCAAATAATTTAATTTTAAAAATGTAGAATAAATGTTTTTGGTAATTTTTTTAATAAATCATCAATTTAAAGGTTAGTATGAGGTATATAAATTAAATTTTCTTATAATTGAACAATTTAAAAGAATGTATATTGATTTGGGAACTATGTGGTAGACAATGTTAATGGTTTAGCAACCAAAGATTCTAACTTGTTATGTCTTTTAGAGTTAGATTCTTAGGGTTAGATTCTACATTTAGAATAATTTTGTTTTAATGATTCAAAATTGCATATTTAATGTTGAGTAGTTTATATTTTGTATATATGATATTTGGTACAATGACTAAGATTTTTTTTATAATCAATCAAACATTTAGGGTTTGAGATTTGGGGTTTAGGGTTTGAGATTTGGGGTTTAGGGTTTGAGATTTCTGGTTTAGGGTTTAGTAGACTTACAGTTAACTCTACTGATATGTACACGTCTATTTCAGTCTACGTTAATTTGTGTTTACCAAAATAAATTATTTTAAAATTAAATTAACTAAGCGGGAAATGAAAATGAATTTTGGAGCCTATTTTTCCATATTGGCGTCAATATTTAGGGTATAGTAGATTTACAGTAAAGTCTACTTATATGTAGACGTATATTTCAGTCTACATTAATTTGTGTTTACCAAAATAAATTATTTTAAAAATTAAAATTAACTAAGCGGGAAGTGAAAATGAATTTTGGAGCCTATTTTCCATATTGGCGCCAATATTTAGGGTATAGTAGACTTACAGTAAAGTCTACTTATATGTAGACGTATATTTCAGTCTACATTAACCAATTTAACCTAATCGAAAAAATTACACAGCATATAAATACTTTTTTTAGGGTTTTCTGGTAAAAAGAATCATAATCACGCCATTTAGATCTGAGGCGGTTTAAGGGGCGATTTCCGGTGAGATTTCCGGCGAACCCTCTTTGACTCCGTTTTCACACCCAACCACCTTCCTCTCGGAATCACCATTCACCACCACGACCATCACCACTATCCTCTCCCATCCTTCAGCCATCTCCACCTTGTCTCCTCCTCATCTCCTCCTCGTCACCACCATTACTCTCCGCCTCGTCTCCTCCTCATCTCCACCATTACTTTTGGCCTTGTCTCCTCCTCATCTACTCCTCGTCATCACCATTACTCTCCTCCCTGTCTCTCTCTCTCTATATATATGTGTTTATAAAGACTCTTTGCATCTCTTATTGTTTTGATTAAAGTGTTCAATTTTCGTTCTAGGGTTTGTATATGTTCAATTTATTTTCTGTAAATTGAAATGCATATGTCGTTGACGAAAATTGATGAAGTGTTATGAGTTAATACATGTTTGTAGTGTACAAGCATGTGTTATGTTTTATTGATTTCTCTGGCTTCTTTTGTTGCAGGTTGCTCCCAGAATTTTACTGCAGACTACGGATTTGTTGACTGTCTTATAGGTCTACATTAATTTAGACTGAATATACAGTCTACATAGAAAAATCTATTTAAAATTGAATTTGTGTATAGACTGAGTATTCTTTGTAACCTCAGATCAAAACATTTGTAATCTTCTTTTATCAGAAACATCAATACAAGTCTTATTCATTCTTTAAGTTCTTACATGATTCAGCCCACGATTATCTTTTCCCCAATTTAAACCTAACCTAAATCAGGAAAGTGAGTTTTATCCCTCACACCCGTCTAACTGCTCAGTTGGGTCAAGATTATGTAAGATCTCTGCCGGGAAATGATAGTTCCAGTTGTAGTGTGGAAAACTTGTTTAGTTTTAAAGTTTACTTTGCCATGGGAGCTTGCTTGAATGAATCTGCTTACATGACAGTAAGCCAAAAAATAACTTAGAGCCAACATTATCATCAGTGTAACCAGCTTACTGTTTTGCATGAAACTAAATGTATTATCATCATGTTCTCGTCACGGCACCTGCAGCGAATCGACAACCAGGGCCAGCCCATACCCACTGGAGGCCCGATTCGAATTCAAAAAATTAGCCCTTATCCCTTTATAAGGAAAAAAAAAAATTTTAGTTTAGATCTAAAAGGGTCTGCAATTTTTTTTGGCCCTAAGCAAAGACTTCCTTTGCCTATGCTTTGGGCCGGGCCTGTCGACAACCCCTTGTTGCATAAGCCGGAGCTTTGGGGAAGAGGAAGGACTCTGATGGTTTCCCCTTTGTTTTAATGATTTGATATTTGTTGGACTTTTCTTTCGCTCCTTTACTGGTTAATCAAAGAATCATGTGGTCATGAAATCAACAATTCTTTTTCACCACTATAGCTAAGAACAATAGATTATTAGGAATGAATTTGTGGTTTTTGTTGAAGTGTGGTATAAATGGTTTCGTAGAAACATATACGGAAAAGACAGAGTGTGAGGCTGGCCAAAGAAGCAGCAAGTGTTAAAAACGTGAAACAATCACGAAGAATCTCCAATAACAATAAAAACAAAAAAAGGGCTACAACAACAAACTCAGGGGATCAATTAGCTTGCAGCTTTCTTTCCGCCTTTGTAGTAACCCAAATACCATCTTGCAAACTTCTTGAGACCCGTCTGAAGATCAGTGGTGGGTTTGTAACCGAGCTCTCTCTGCGCTGAACTGATGTTAGCATGAGTAAACTGCACATCACCGTTCCTGGGCAGCTTCATAATGTTCCTCTTTGCCTTGACTTTCAACAATCTCTCCAGTATACTGACAAGATGAGTCACTGGAACAGGGGAGGTGTTGCCCAGATTGAAAACCCGTAACTGAGCAGCACCACGCTTCTTACCACCACTCCCTGTGCTCTTCTCGGCAGTGTCCAGAGCCCCCAAACAGCCCTTGACAATGTCATCGATGTAGGTAAAGTCCCTAGCCACAGTCCCGTGGTTGGCGCCTTCAAAGACAGAAATGGCTTTGCCTCTGAGAATGTCTTTGGTGAAGAAGAAGTAGGCCATGTCTGGTCTTCCCCAAGGACCGTAAACCGTGAAAAACCGCAAACCGGTGAGAGAGAGGCCATAGATGTGGTTGTAAGTGTGAGCAATCTCTTCACCGGCTTTCTTAGTAGCAGCATAGAGACTAGCCGGTTGGTCGGTTCTGTCTTTCTCGGAGAATGGCACTTTGGTGTTCAATCCGTAGACGGAGCTAGAGGAAGCCCAGACAATGGCAGGTTGGGGATTCGCAGATTTACAGACCTCAAGGAGGTTGACGAAGCCAGCGATGTTACTGTGAACGTAGGAGCTGGGGTTCTCCATGGCGTACCTGACGCCGGCTTGAGCGGCCAAATGCATAACGTGAGTGAAAGGGACGACCTCGAAGAGCTTCCTGAGGAGCGCCGCGTCGTTGATGTCTCCTTCCACCACGAAGATGCCGCTCCGCTCGAGAAGGGCTTGCCTGGCTCTCTTGAGGGAGGGATCGTAGTAATCGTTGAAGTTGTCGAGGCCCAGAACTCCGTCTCCACGTCTTTTGAGGGCAGAGGAGACATGGGTGCCCACGAAACCGGCGGCTCCGGTGACGAGAACGGAGACACCGCGGCGGGTACGGACACGGGCGGAGGATCTGACACGTTTCTCCCAGGCGGGGCCTCCCCAGGAGTAGGTGCGGAGGGAGCGGCGAGATGGATCGGAGGAGACGGGAGAGGGGGAGGAGGGAGAGCGGTAGAAGAAGATGAAGATGAAACCGAGGAAGAGGAGAGACCAGAAGGCGAGCTTGGGGAGGGAACGGGTGCTTCGGTGAAAGTAGGGAGATTTATCAATCTTGAACTTGCCAGGAGTGGAAGGAACATCATCATCATCCAGATGCGACATTTGCTTCATCTTCCAATCGGACGAGATTATTGCGTCCCCGCGAATCTTGATCGATTTCAGATTTTGGGATCTTTTCTTGTGTTTGTTTGGTGAGAGTTTATAGCCCCTCCGACTTGAAAGCCAATATCAACAACTCTCCTTTATTTTTTTTTCTTTTCCCCTTTCTATTTTTGGCTTCTTTTCTTTTCTTTTTAATATATAGGGGATATACAACACAGAAGAAGAGAAGATGATGGTCAGAGAGAAGAGGAGTGGAAGGAAAGAGGGAGAGAGAGAGTCAAAGCAACCCTCACTGATCAAAGCGATCATCACTTTTACTCTCTCCTTCACATTTGATTCCAGAGCTCTTCTTACTTTACCATCAAGTTTAACTTTGCTTCTCGAATCAAGGAAGCATCAGGAATATAGATATTCGATACACTAATATCCATCTATAAATGTTTACCCGCATCTATGACATACTACAAAATGAACAAAACATGCCTCCACCCCTAAGGTGAATGGTATAATTCACCTCTCTTCTCTAAACCAATTAAACTTGTACATAGGATTAGTTAAGAAAAGGTATTATAACTAAAAGAAACAAAAAAATAACTGAAAAAAATAAAATAACTGAAAAGAAAAGAATTAACGTGAGACGTTGCCATTAACTTATTTTTCTTCATCCATTGACTCTTTTTCTCCTCTTCCCATAGACTCCTAAATAATCCTTCACTTAACTTCTCTGTTAAAACCTAAGACTTCGATTCCGTCAAGGAACTTAATCTCGGCAACGAAGCTCTCACCGACGTGAGTTTCATCTTTTCTTTAAATTATGTTTCCAAACTGAAACGAAAAACTCTAATCGGTGATATTGATTCAGGTGTCTTGTTTGGACAAATTCAAAAATTTGGAGAAGCTTGACCTACGTTTCAATAATCTCACTGATCTTCATGTAAAATCAAGAGACTTTAAAAACTGAACCTTTACTTGAATATTAAGTTAAGGCTTTTTAAAGTTTATGATCATGTTTTGTCGGTTTTAGGGACTCAAGGATTGCCTGAATCTGAAGTGGCTGTCGGTTGTGGACAACAAATTGCTGAGCTTGAGTGGGACTGAAGGGTTAACTAAGCTTACAGTAAGTTGAATTCATTTCATTTTTCTCTAATATGTTTGCTACTTTCGTCGTTTAACACTATTAGTTTGCAACTTTGTTGTTATCATAGAGTGAAGTTTCTTGAGGACTAAGCTTTTCTTTTGATAGAGAATGATTTGATATTTATATAAAAGTGAGCAACTTCGTTTGGCTTCAGGTGCTAAATGCTGGTAAGAATAAGCTCAAATCTATGACCCCTCCACTCTCAGGCTGACCTCTCGGTCTGTTTTGGGTTTGAACTTGTGACATGTTTTGGCTAGTGAACGTGGTTGATTTTGTATATTCTATCGAAATTAATTTGTGTTTACAGAGTTTCACGCCGTGTGTATTGACTCGTGGCTAACCTGCTTTGTTAAGGGGGTTCGCCATCTCTATCGCAGAGATCGTATATAGCTTCTCCATAGTCGTTTAATTACCCTGATTTGTCACCTCTGAACGCTAGGTACATGTCACCTTATAGGCCTAGTCCGAGCAATGCGTCACCTAGTAGGATCGTCATCGAAACATCCGTTAAATCCTCTGCGTTACAGTGAATCAGTAGGAACTTTCTCTCCGTACGCTTCGGCGAACTCGCTGCTAGACTGTTGAAAAAGTTCATTGAACCAAATGGTTATGGTTCAGTGGACATGTGAGATTTATTTATTTTTTTTATTTTTATTTTTTTGTATTTGAGGTTTAACTAAAGAGAGATACGATGTGTTTGTGCCTGAGATTTATTTTTTCTTTTTGTATTTGAATTTTAACTAAAGAGAGATACAATGTGTTTGTGTATGTGTGCATACTGATGATATGTTTTATAGTCTTTTGGTTGAGATGAACAATATTTCAGTTTTAGGTTACACAAACTCTGGTTCCTTTTGTAGAAATATGAGTTTTAAGTGAACAAGCGTGAGTGTGAGAACCAAAACAGAGAGTAAGTGAGTGAACAAAAACAGAGAGTCTTGTGCACATTGCTAAACTTAAACATCTTTGTTCTAATAAACCTGCCAATGTTCCAACATCAGTCTCTAGTGTATTTCTTTCTATTCTTATGTTTAGCTTATTTCGTTTGGAGATATAAGAATACAACAGTCTATGAAGTGTTGAGACATTGTGTGTGCTTTGCTAAAGGTTCAACATAGACGTTGAAGCAGAATATAGCCTTAGGTATTTTATGATAATAATCAGTGTAAAAACAAAAATATGCTAGAAAGTAGAAACACCAAAAGTAAGAATGAAAACAAAAACATAATTAATGTCTTCTTTCACATTTAAAATAACAGAATATTACGATGATCCACCATGATTCTTGTCAAATCCCTACAAAATATGTGATATAAAATAATTAAAAAAATGACAGATCAATTACTCAAATATAAATAGTATTAAAAATGAAGTATTAACCTGGAGCAGTTGTGAAAAAGAAGGCTCATTGTACGTGATCAGACTAGTGGCAGAAACAGATAACTGGGTAGGAGGAAGACTGGACTCCTGAAATATATATATATTGATTAAGTCCCAATATTCAATGAATATTGGACAAACAAAAAAAATATGTCAAATACCTGAAACAACAACTTATTTTTTGTTGTACCATTGTTGGATGATTTTGATATACCATGATTTTTCGTTTCAAGCACACTCAAATATCGAGCATAGCATCGACTTTTTGGTTCTTTGGTCGTCCAGGAAGGTTTTTTCTTTTTATTCCACGTGGATTTAGAACTTCTTCTTCTTCCATAAGTTCAAAATCAGAAGCAGGGAGTATCCATTTCTCAGCTTTCACAAGTTCCATTTTATTTTCCTTCCGTTTGTCATGCAACTGAAAGGCAACTTCTGCACAGCCTGCAGTTCTATATGTTCAGCAGCAACAAATGCTATCTCCCAGAAAGTACGGCATATATGACTATATCGCTTTCCGATTGATTCCTTCACTGTATCATTAGGTGTCGCTGAATGATAAAAAGATATGGTTCGTGCTTTAGCCTTTTTTACTCCATCGATTCAGAATATATGCAAGAGGAATTCTTCTAACATCCTTCTTGGCCAAATCTTTTAACGCATGACGACATAAGATTCCAGCAAAAGAAAACTTCATACAACTATAATGTATTGTTTCTTCTCCAGCATCATAACTAACCAAATGATTTCTCCCAACACCACTAAAAGATACATTGTATTCAGCACTTACCATCTCAAACTTATTGACCCTTTTGGCAACATAATCACCAATAGCTGTGTGTTCCTTCTAGAACAAGGTAAGGACTTCTGGTGTATACATGTCCACTGCATGTTGCAACATTTCTACAGGAGCCGATAAGACCGGTATGAATCATGCCGAAGTCAGCAGTTAATTCTTTAAATCGCCGATCATCCAATGATCTCTCATAGTGTTTAAAGAAGCGCAACAAGTTATAACCGCACTTCAAATATTTTTTCAAATTATTATTCATACTTTCACTACGATGTGTGCTCATCATATCGGCTGAAAAACTATAGCGACCATATACCCTTGCCCATTTTCCCTTCAACTCAAACAAATCCTTCAAGCATTTATTCTCTGTCAATCCATGCTTTTCGAGCATTTCACTCCATGCCGATAACCACTCTACTTCATTCTCATGGTCATCCACACATTTTCCAAAGTCTGTGGCAAACTGATTAGGTCCATGAAATACATGACTCAACCTCTTTGCAGCATTTTGGTAAATATGCCAAACACATAACCTATGTTTTGTTTCAGGAAACACTTTCTCTATTGCATTTGCCAGTGCTGCACATTGGCCTGTAATAATTTTTTGCGGTTGTTTTCCAGACATTGCTCCAAGAAAAGTCTGAAATAGCCACTCAAAAGACTCTGTGGTTTCATCATATAAGAGAGCAGCACCAAACACGATAGTTTTCTTATGATGATTGACACCGACAAATGGAGAAATAGGTCTATCATATTCGTTGGTCTTGTAAGTTGTATCAAAGCAAACGAAACCTCCAAAAAGATTGTAATCACTAATTGACCGATCATCCGCCCAAAAGATATCAGTGATCATATCGTCTTCATCAAGTTGCATTGAGTAAAAAAAAGATGCATTATCCTCTTTCTTTTCTGAAAGTACTCCAAAACAGCTCCAGCATCTCCCTTTTCCATTACTGACATTCGATTACGGTATATGTAGTTTTTCAGGTCTTTATCCATAAAACCCAGATTTGCTAGCCCCCCCAACTTCTCTGCTCATCATTTCAGCGGTTGCTTTTGCTGAAATTTCTGACATATCAGCATCATCAGCATGTTTTTTGGAGAGATAGAGATTGCTCGGTTACTCTTCAGAAAATACTTCACAGGTGTCCTCACTAAATCGTGGTTATGGTTCGGCTCAAAAGTTGCAATCTTATATCTTCCGTTACACTGAAGATAGCAAGACATGCGAGCTTTACAGCCACACCTTGTGGTTGGTCGTGAATATGATATCTTGACCTTTGGTTCTTCTTTAAACCCCTCTTTTGAGCATACATAAACCATCCTTACTAGCTCATTGTTTTTTTTTCGCAGTCTGCTGTCTCCTTACATTGAAACCATGACTGCCTCCATATTTTCTATACATAAGCTTTATATGCAGACTCATCAGAACAAAAATCCATTCCTATACAGAGCTCATGGTTATTCTGATTTTCATTGTTTTCCTCTAAAGCATCAACATCTTCAATCTGAAGATAATCCTTGTAGATCCTAAAATCCACACTTAGTATTTTGTAGAGATCAAGAGTTCAATCGGGGGAATACGAAAAATGTGGGCAACAATGCTCTTAAACACAGTGATATAATCGGACTTCGGTTGACAAAAATGGACTTTTATTGAATATGGAATTCGTTTACAAAGTGATGAACAAGATCGGAAATAGTAACAAAAACTACAAGAAGGCGAATATAAATTTAAGAATGAGGCCGATGTGATTAATGAATAGCTCTAGGGGTTTTTCTCGTATCTTGAATGTCACTCTAGCTCTCTTTTTATAGTCCTTTCCTCCTCTAACTGCTTCT